CCAAAAGCTTTCTATTTCTCAGCAACACCCACTCTTTCATCCAAACCAAACAGCAAGCTGCAAAATACAATTTCAAGTCAGGTAAACCCAGTCCTTCCCTTTTCTTCGCATCTTGTAACACCTTATATTTAACTCGTGGTTTTTCCCCCTGCCACACCAATTTAAATGTATCCTTCTGCCACTGTTTAAATGGTGCACCAGTTGTCAAAACAGGTATTGTCTGAAACAAAAACATCATTCTAAGCAAGACATTCATTTTTATCACAGAAATTCTCCCCAGCAATTCAGTTGTAGTTTCTCCCATCTTAACATATCTTTTGAACTTCATTCCATGTCTTAAAATAATTATTTTGAAATAATGTAATATTTATTCATATTTGTCATAGTGACACCCAGATATTTTAGTTTCCATGTTGTATTTAATGAAACAAGATTCAAGGCTTGAGCAATGTACAGAAAATACAGTTAAATTAATTGAAAACATTTCTCTTACATGAAAAATGTGATCTATATTTTATTAGCAGTTCACATTTTTCACAAACAAAAAAGCAAACAATTTTTTCATTGAGATTATTTGCTTTAACACACAAGGATACATAATTAATTCCTTGACATCAACTCTGTGACTGAAATCACAATAATTCTGTTATCTGCCAATGAAATATCTATGCAAAATGTATAATTCATACATTCTACCATTTTGCAAATTGTAAAAATGACTTTCTAAAAAGGAGAAATAAGTTGTCTTTACTTTCCTTAAAGCAACCTGTGTATAATACATATATATACTGTGTATATTATATATTCTACTAGGTGGTGTGATACAGGAAACAATATGTTGGCTTGGAAGGAAGCTTTAGATTAGACAACTTAGATTGCATAAAATATTGTGAGCTTTGGTTGCACAAGTAACATATTGGCCCAAATCTGCCAAAGTGGCTGGTACTGTCTTTAATATTAGCAGGGACTACTACATGTGTCACATATATGATGAAGAGTGGTAACCAGTTTTCTTCTTCTCTATGTTACTAAAAGTATTGTGTCACTAATCAAAGCAATGACAGGCACCAAAGATCAATAATTATGGGTCCAACTAGCGACAACCATGGCACAGGCTAATTTAAAAAAGAGAAGTGTGTCAGTTTTCAAGATCACCAGATCTCTTTATATATCTATTATTAAAAGCATTAATTAGTGCAGTCTAGCATTGGCAGGATGGCCTTGCAAACTGTAAGATATCACCACCATGGCTAGTAAGTCCCTGCAGATACCATTCCATTGTTTTCTATCCTGAGCAGATGCTGTAAGTTCTGTGACGTTAGAGTATAACTGCCATGCTTCAGCTTCTCTGCCGATCCAGATTTTTTGGAGGGCATTTTTTCTTTTTTTCCAACCAGGTGAATGTTGCCTTTCCAGCAGTCACTTAGGCAGGCATGCTACATCCATTTTGCAGACGTGCACAAACCACCAAAATCATGACTGTCAGATCCTATTCTCAACTGTGGGTT